TATAGCAGTCTCCGTAGATTATTTTCCAGCCCCTACCCTGCTTCGCCCCTCCAGAGATAACGCAGAATTTGAAAGCCGCAGTTAGATCCGGTTTACGTTAAAAAGATGGGAAGCGATAGATGTTCTACGAGGGAACAATTTATCGAAGCCGCTAGGTTAGTGCAAGGAACCCTTTCGCATACCACGCGGTACAGGCACCCCTCGCAGTACAGACATCCCTCGGCTCTTTACGTTTCCTCCCTCGGCGATGCCCTCGGAGCATAACCCATCGAGGACTGTTCTAAGCTGACGGTGTCCCGTCAGAACAGTACTCAAGAAATCCGTAACTCCCTCTCCACGATGACGCATATAACTACCGACGTAACCCTCAATTCCGCAATGGATTTGAAAGTTCGATTAATCCTGCCCCCCAATCCGTTTGAGCCCTTTTAACCATGCACATTGACACCCAAGTGTCACCCGACGATTTGCCCTTCACATTTTGAAGGCTGCCCAAGAAAAGGCCGTTCAATTTTTAAAACAGCGTTTATCCAGTTCTCCCAGAATGATTGATGTAGTTGGCCCGTGTTAGTTAAAAAACCCGACAATAGTTACCGTATATGTATTGACTACCACCCCCTCAACACCGTTACTAACCACCTCGTCCTCACCCTGCGAAGCTTAGAAAACCTATTAAACTCTGCCCATGGAGCTGTCTATGTATCAAAAATAGACGTAAGTCAAGCGTTCCACCACATCCTTTTCGACGAAGACGGTAAGGTGAACACTGCCTTCGCGATCCCTGGACTGCCCCCCAAGCTATTTCAATTGTGACGAGTTTCGCCTTCTCGCGCAAAAAAAAACCAAATCCGAAGGCCTCGGCCACCGAAATTAATAACATAAGTCAGGCACCAGTACATTTTCTAACTAAAATGCAAAAAAACTAATTTATAGAAGATAAATGACTGGAACAGTAACCGGCAATTCAGTATCAACGGCGAAGGCGGCTGGGTTCAACATCCTGCTCCAAGAAATACCTCTGAAATGATTGGGTTTCACTCAATAAATCAAGTTCCTAAATTCAACTACTAAGACTATTTATTCATCCTCAATTTCAAATGAAGACGATATACTCGTGTCCGAAACCAAATGATATAATTCAATGAATTCGTTAGGATTCTAGGTCACATATTTTCAAGTCGATAATCTCGATATAATTAAAAAATAAATAATTACATAGATAAATTAATAAATTAATAAATTAATTAGTTAAAAAATCCCTAATCACTTCGTTAACAAATTAAATAAATAAGCTAAGTCAAGTTACAAACATTTGTCAAAATTATAAAGAAGTAGTCAAATGATGAATTAAGTCACGAAATGAAATTCTCGGATCAATTGAAAAGAAATAATATAAGAAATGATTAACTCAAAAAAAAACAAATAATCTGAGACAAAGGATTTAATTATTCCCCGAAGGTTAACGTAATCAACAAGTGACATTATTTGAACCACTGCAAACACATGAAACTGGAATTGTTTATCACTTGATAACCAAAAATCCTCAAGCGTCGGTATAGACGCTATAATTTCAATTTCCATCAAAACGAAAAATACAAAAAAAAAACTATAGTCTTTATACCCTGAACACGAGTCGAAGGCAGTGAAAATTATCGACATATATCGCTGAGAAAAATTAAGGAAACAACTTTACTAGGCAACGGCAAATTCTCTGTAGACTTGATAATTATACGACAATGTAAAGGACGCCAAGCGTCATAGCAAATCAAATTCTCTATATAGTTTATCAAATAACCATAAGCAATTTTTGGAAGTATTCAATCGCTTACCGATATCCAATCAATTAAACCAGTAGCGTTAGATCTTTCCCAATAATAAAAATCGTCCTCAAAACAAGCCAGAAGGGTTTCACAAATTATCAAAATTTCCGCGATGACTCAAAATGATAGCAGTCACATAATATCAGCAGTCACACTATCCAAGGTGATGTCCAAACGACGAATGACGTTTCACCAGCCAAACAATATTTAACCATAGTATTGGCTGAAGCCAACAAAACACAAATTATCTCAATAATAATTCAGCAATGTCAAACCGCGCATGGCCTGAATTAATTAATTGAGTCTAATAATCACGAGACTCATTTAACAATTCTCTGGCTCGGAATTCCCTAGCATTCCTAGGCGAATATTCTCCAAATCTCCTCCAAGATATCTGGCCCATCCAAAGGCGCCATCACTTGTCTTCGCTCGTCGATAGAACTCAGTGCGTGGATAAGATACCCCTTCAAATCCCGTGCTCGATGTCCAAAACTGCTGGAGCCACGAGATCCAGAGATTATGATGCCTCGTTGTCCTCCGAAGTCCCGCGTTGCAATTGTCCATCGGTAAGCGATGACAATGAGTCGATATCAATCTCGACTAATTCATGAATTAATTATTTATTTAATTTTTTTTATTAGACTTCAGAAACTAATTGATCATTTCAATTAGACAATAATTCGTAACAAATTACATTCTATGTACGACAATGCTTATTGATTTAAGGGGATTTTATTTAATTTATTATTTTTTTGTATTGTATCGAGACCTAATAATTCATTGAAGATTGTTCTCCCTAACAATTCTATAGTTTCTACCTTTCATTCTTTTGTCTATCCCATTTACATCGCCGTTCAGCTTCAGATTCATTCTGAATCTCTACGTATTGAGCAGCAGGATAATTGAGGCTGATAGTTGAGAAAGAATTTTGCTACGGTGGTCAGCCCGTTAAATGACTATGCGACGCGAAAATTACACCAAGTATCACCAACACAGGCTGATAAGCTAGAACCCATCATTACCGACCGAGGGTCTAACAGACATCAACATTACCCTCCCCCGCAGCCTCAACGGCCCACTGTCCCGCACTACCCCTCAGATCATAATGGCCATGTCCTACTTCGGGAGATCTGGAGAAGCCCAGATGACCCCGATGACGAAAATCAGAGAATCCGGCGACAGTGTATCTCTCCGGACCCATGATAATTGGACGAGCGCAAACGATGTCTCCAAGCAAGGATCCAACATCTTCAATTGGTAGAGATTTTTGTCGATTGAGATACTGAGATATTTGGTACTAATACTCGAGATACTGACGCACCAGCCAATAATCAACAAAGTTTGGGGAAGCATATTCGACCTGGGGATTACCCCGAACTCTTCAATTTTATGGATTTCTTACGTTATTGCTTTGATGAGATTCATCTCCGAAAATCTTAAATTTTGAAAATTGTTTGAATTTCCGGAAAAATTGAGTAAAATTCGTTAAGAATTATTTTTGGATTTATTTGGAATTTATGGTCGAAATTATTGGGAGCTTCTGAATGACGCGATCAGTGTTGTGAATTAGTATGGGTAGTGAGAATTACCAGAATTATGACTACGAACGAAAAATTAGGCGAGTCCATTGTTAATACGAGTCCATTTTCGCCAGAATTCGGGGAAATTTGTTGCCCTTTTTGAGGCTCAAGCATCGTGAAGCGTACCGGGGCTCAAGCTTGAGCGAAGTTGCGTTTCGGCCGGCACAGAAATAGGTTGAGTTTTGAGGGGAGAAAATTGTTCTCATATTTTAAGTTCAACTTAAGTATTCTGGCGTCCCGATTGCTGTCCTACCCAGAGGAAGACGTGGGGGTGCGACTAGAATCAGACTATTGCCATCGAGGTTTGAAGTCAGGTTGAGATTTAAGTTTAATATTACTATTTCTGTCATTTATTTTGTTGTTCGAAATTCTAGTCATCACATATCTAAATATATTTGTGTTATTGATTGTCGAACGAAAAATCATTCAATTTAGCTTTCGTTTATGGCGTTAATTTCTTTTTGTCGTGACGGGAATGCGAAACCCGAAAGTAATATTCCGTATTCTTTTTTACCCAATGTTCTATTGTCTGTGCAGTATAATATTTCTTATTTTGAATTAAAAATGTGTCTTTTTGTTGAGATAGAGCAGAATCCCAGAGAGGGGATAACGTTTCCCCTCCACCTTGTGACAAGTAGAGTCTACTCTCATATGCGAGCTGTCAGCCATTTTGAGTCTGTGGGTTTGTATTTTTGGGTTGGGCCGAGAGAAGTCAATGCCTCTCGTAAACCTTTTCGACTGACTAGCGCCCACGCACAATATGAGTTACTCAATTATTTTTGAGTAAAATTTAATTTAAGATTATTCATTTGGATAAGTGGCGTACTTCACATCTTCATTCGAAGCTATTTAATCACGCTGAGGTATTATAGACGTCATCTTATTGGATAGTTTCGTAGATTATTTGTTTTTTAGTTAATGTAAATCCAGTCATGCTAGAACTATATTTAGAAACAGTATTGGAGATCGAACACCTCCCACACGCTTTTCCTTCCCATCGTTGTATCACTGTCATTTTCATTTTTGTACCTTTTGATGGAACACGCTTTGACACTTGGCTATGACTGACACCTTGTTTTTAAATTAGATTCAGTCGAAATGGGCTGCGTGTTCCATTCTCCTTTTCCACGAGCAGGTGAAATATGTCACAATACATGCAATATATTTCGCTGCGATTTCGAACTAGAAATTATCGCATGAACTTTTCTTTTCCTATACTATAAATATTGGATGAACGATAAAAAAAAACTGGAAACTTTTCATAGTGGGTTTTGAAGGTAATACAATTTCAAACTATTCTTGTAGTCTTGTTTCTAGTTCAGACTTGTGCTGATTTTTTCGAACGTGAAGAAGATGGAAAGATGTTGTTATGCTATCGCCGGACCAGAACCACAATCCCATCCTGTAATTGTGTGAATCTGGTGTTATTGTTTTCGGAATGTCAACAAAAATTGATTTGAAAAATCATGGCCTAATGAGGACGCACATACAGAAGTAGGATTTTCTTAATGTACGGTGCGAGTTCACTAAACTTGTCGTAATTTCCAGCAATATCCAACTTTTTAGAATATCGTCTGATTTTACATAAAAAATTACTCGATACAACTGAAAAAAATCACTTTACTATTGCTTTTTTACTTGATCTCCCACATTTAGATCCCACATTTAGATTAGATTTTAGAAATCTTGAAAGTAATAAGCATCAAAATGCAAGTTTCTATCTACGACTGTCCATCAATGGTCCCGTTCGTGAGCACATCTTTCATTGTTTTTTCTAGTGATGGAATTAAATCACAATAGATATCAACACATTTTGTTGCACAGTGTTCGAAACCATCTGTCAAACGGTTAACTTCATTCTGCGTCGGGTTAACACCCATCTGATCTTTTATGTGATCATTACAGTCCATAATGCATCTCTGCAATCGATTCTGAAAAATGAGTAACTTAATTGATGAATTTGATACAATCATATCTGGCGCAAAAAATTGATATAAATGGATTCAAGTCAAGATCAAGGTTTCAAAAAATAGCTTTTAATTTTGTAGGTACTAGTTGAATTTTTTCGTTCGTTTTCCACCGTTAAGTCGTCTCATGAAATCTGTGAAAGTATATTAAAATTTTCTGCTCTCAATACTTTAAAGCGTCAACATCATTCGTACATATTGAAATTATTTATTGAATGTTGAATTATGTCTTTTCTAACAAAAGAACACGCCAAAGGAAACACTTGTTATAACATAAAAAACATAAGTTTTGTACTAAATTTGGATCCGAAGATATTTCTTCAACATTGACTCTTATCCTATATTTTCACTGACAACATTACCTGAAATCTCGTGAATTCCGCATTTACGTGCTGTTGTGCCTTTGTCAAGGATCCACTGCAGTTTTGAATGCACTGGTGAATTTTCTGAACACTTGCGGTTTTATTATCACAGCATGTAGCTGCACACCTGTGCATATCACCCTGGAAATGAAGAGGAAGTTATCATGCAAATTTGAAGAGAGGTGTCTTTCTTTTCAAGAGAAATAATTATTCTGTTATACATCGCAAATATGTATCTCGCACGAACAGATGTTTCAACCTACAATTTTGCCTGCAGAGTAAATTTACAATTTTATGAATTTTTAACACACAGTTTTAATACATTTCAGCCAGCAAATTAGAAAAAAGTATATGGCGGTTTCGAGCGGCAGAACACATAGGACAATCGTTTCTACCAATTCCATCGGCAATAGGCTGTAATACTTTGGCAGATCCAGTCACGGCGATCAAGGATAGTTAAGACCTTCGCCTGTTCCTATACTCGCGTCATGCAATGCCAACCAGGTTAATGCGGGTGCCAGCTAGCTTTTTATGGACCAAAAATCAATAAAAACCGAAAGAACCGGAGCGAGGGTAAGAAGGTTCGTTGCCCTGTCTCAGCTCAGGTCGGTAAACCTCGTTAACCAAGAAAGCAAATCCTAATCCAGAAAACCTAAAATACCTACTTTAATCGTACAAGAATGTGAGGAGATACACGAATACTTTGATCAAGGCATTAGTGAAGTGATAAACTGTAAAAATTCAACTAATAATCCGAATCCATTAAATGTTGTAAATAAAATCGTAACTCATATACAGAAAATAGAAGATAATAATAGAGTTGAAAAAATAAAAGAACTACTGAGATTAGACCATCGTATAAGTTTTGAAAGATCTCACGTAGAGAATTTAATTAAAATATATCCAAATAGGTTTCATATACCTGGCGAACCATTAGGATCGACTAGAATCTACCAACACAGAATACCAGTTACTTCTGATATTCCAGTTAGTTCCAAGCAATATAGGATTCCTTATTCTACAAAACCGGAGGTTGATAAACAAATTGATGAACTCTTTGATACGGGAATTATTAAGCCTTCCAAATCCCCGTATAATAGTCCCGTATGGATTGTTCCAAAAAAAAACTAATTCCAACGCTACTAGAAGATGGCGAGTAGTCATCGACTTCCAAGAGTTGAATGAAAAAACAGTAACTGATGCTTATCCCCTTCCTAATATCACAAATATACTTGATCAATTGGGAGGTTGTGTATGTTTTTCTCCCTTTGTTTTTGTTTAAGAATAATAATTAAAGTAAAGTAATAAAAGTATAGATATGTGTAGGGCCATGCATCGGGAATTTTCTTTCAATGTCCAATGAAATTATCTCTCTTGTTTTTACGACTTACACGTGGGCCTAATCTATCGCGAAAAATCTCCACTCTTGGAGACAGGAAATTTGGGTACAGATTTCAACTGTATCACGGTCGTTTGATTTCTTTTCGAGGATCAGATGACAGTCATAAAATTTTCAGATAATCTACAGACACTTGGTGCATAGTCAAGTGCATTTTTTTCCTTTCGCCGGTCATTCAAAATATGTAAATAGATTTAAATTTTTCAAGTTCTGATTCGAACAATTTAAACATCGAGTAAGTTAATAAATGAAATGAATGTTATTCAGTCCATTTTAATCTTCGAACGAGGATTTTTCATCGAAGTTATAAAGTGTAGTTATTCTGGTAGAGCTCAACACAGATAAGTTAAAGAAAATACAAGTCAACAATACAACTCAATGATTTTACTCAGTTGTTATAATCACCAATCGAACTTTAAATTAAGAGACGACGCCCAATAATCGTAGTTAGGAATTTTTGTAAGTTACTAAACGAATAAATTAAATAGATATTGTGGAGGGAAACATGAAACTCCTGAAACAATTCTCATTGGTAGTTGGTAAGAGGAAAGTCCGCCCACACCTCAATATTTTGAGTAAATCTTAATGTGGAAGGGATGGAGTTAATCCTGAAACATTGGGACCTTTTAAACCAGGCATGGGCAATCTCCAGGCAGCTCGGAGCAGAGCCATAAACTCGAATTAGAAATCCAATAAAGTTTACAACCATTACAATAATAAGGGTCTTAGTACTAGCATAGTGGGGGCAGGAGTGGGGGCTTCACAGGTACTAAGGTGGGGAGTATCCCATGAAGCATCTGGCAAGAATTTATCCTCCGGAAGGGTAAAATTTGTCGCGCATCTGATTATTTTTAATGCACACATGAAAAAAAATTGAAATTTTTCTCATTGACTTATTTCTCTGCTTTTCCTTTACTTGAGTCTCATTTCTCCTCTTTTCCTTTTCTTAAGGGACACCCCCACTTCGGTTGATCTCAGCAGAGGAGAAGGGCCTTTACGACCTGGGTCATAAAGGCCCATCACCCGATACAATGGGCTTTCGTCTACCGTTTGTTACACACTAATAGAGGTCGGGAGCACGACTTGCTCTCTGAGCAGAGTATGCCCAGCCCTGTTTTAAACGGAGAGGAAAATTGGAGGTCAACGCCTTAGGCCATTGGTCACTGATTTTCTTTCCTTATTTTCCTGAGGCCAACCCTCCGAGCAAGCATTTAAAAATTCTTGCATAACAAAAATCGAGTTAGTTCACATTCAAATTTGAATCTTTCAGTTAGCCTATTTCCCAGGCAACTATTATAATAGAATTACAACTCTATTTTCATAATCATTCAGATTTCAAGACTGTTCGATTCTACAAGCACTTCGTGGCTTATTTCTTTTTATTACTAGTAGGCGTTTTTATGGCTTATTTTAGTTTTTCCTTTAACTTCATAAATTGTTTGTAAATTTTAACATGTAAACTACCGATAATGTTTGTGTCAAGTGTGTTAAGTCAGCTCATTTTCTTTTTAGGGTGCGACAAGCTCTATTAAGGATGACGATTCGAAAGGGAATCAAATAATTTTTCAGATATGTTCAACATTGTTTGTAACTGATTTCACTTTTGTGTTCTGTGTTTTTGTTTGTAAATATAGACTCGAAAGAAAAATTTAGAAAAATTTAGGACAACCTTCAATTGTTTCATATACCTCGAGCCTAGTTTTCAGCATTATTCCCATCCGTGCCCTTGCTTGAAAGATACAAAGCTAAAAAGGGAACGAGTTAGATTCAAATGGGTTACGTTTGAAACTATTGTTGGGTCCGTTTCCTCCCCTGTTCGAATAGAATATGTTACCCTTAAATTGGGCAACAATTTTCGGTATAGTCAATTGTTCGCGTTAAACGAAGGATCGATGTTAATGTCAATTCACTCATTCTTAGCATAACAATGGTATATGTATGCATTTTTTCTGCTAACATATGAACCGCAGCAATTAATATTCCAAATGAAAAAATGAACGACTTCAATTATTTTAAAATAGTAAATCAAATAATTTTAGTCGTATATTTTTTTATTATTTATCCAAAACAAATCAGCAATTACGAGAATTGCCGAATGGCCTCATTCGCGGTTGCGCGCTGCTAAGGTCAGTATGTGTTTTTCACCTGCTCTTCATCGCCACTCTATCCTATTTCTTTTAACTCAATATTTCAAAAATTTATATTACTTCTCTGCTGACTCATTAATTAATTTGTCGTTAACTGAAGGTGTCCCCTCAATCGAACAAAACCCTTCTGCACTCTAACAAGATAAAAATCAACATGAGTTCGACTCAATCAAATAAAAAAAGAAATAATACTTCGGAAACACAACCCACTCCGACTGTTTAACCACGTGCTGCAGTAAGAAAAGGCAATGAAACTGCAACTTCTGAATTGATCTCTAATGATCATACACCACCGATCATCGTGGAAACAAAGAATTTAGAGGTAATGGATTTAATTAAACTGATAAAAACAGACGCTGCCAATAAAGATGTCACAATTAAATATCAGGGAATGACTTCATCAATCCACCTCAAAACAAAGACTGACCACGCTAAGATCGTCCTAATTTTCCTATAAGCCAACTTTAAGGTCTCTACTTACGGCTTCAAACAAGATAGGCTTAAGAAATTTATGATAAAAGGACTGCCTGCTTCATTCTCAGAGGATATAAAGGAGGACTTAAAATTTTAAGGCATCGATGTAATCTCACTGAGACAGTTCATCAAAAAAAAAAAAGAGCCGGTCTCAGCCATAAAACTACCCATCTTCTCAGTTACAGTGACCCCAGAAACGTCACTCGCCAGCTTCTCCAATCTAAAGACGATCTTATACCATACCTTCTTAATAGAAAAATTTAAATCAAACGGTCAGCCAACCTAGTGTTTCAAATGCCAGCCTTTTGGCCATGCCAGTTCACACTGCAGCCGCAGCCCAAAGTGTGTGAAGTGTGAAGATGCTCACGATGCAAAAAGCTGCACTAGCGAAACCATCAAATGCCCCAACTGTGGGGAAAAGCATGTGGCCAGCTACAAAGATGTTTATCCCGTGTTAAATACATCGAAAACTCCACCATGAGGAAAGGAAATAGAGGAGCACGGTCATCTGCTCCCCAACATTTAACTAAACATAATTCTGGGCTCAGTCACCTCATCAAAATCCTACACACATGCTGTCATCAAACAACCATCCACAAACGACCTGAAGGACGCAACCCCACCCAAGCCAAAGTAGCATAACACTCTGTATACAGAACGCTAGTACCATTGTCAGAGAATTAATGCAATTGAATATATTTTAATTGTTCGAAAAATTAAAAGAAATGATCAAACTATTAAAATCCACTGTGTGACCTATTGATCGTCTCACGATCATAGCCTTTTATTCAAACATTTTTAACGTACATTCTCGAACATGGCGCCACTAAGACCAATTAATACTATTGCACTGAACATTAATTCTCTAAAACCGAAGCTATCAGAATAATCACTTATAATTACTGAACAAAATGCTAAAGTTATTCTCTTTTCAGAAGCGAAATTAAGTCCTAATGTTGAAAAACTCCATTTACCAAACTTTGCATTCATCAGAGAGTACAGATCGCATAAGTTGGGTGGTGGAGTAGCCATAGCCATTCACTCTTCAGTTAAATACAATAATCTCCCACATATTATTAAATCCAACACATATGTAGGAGTAGAAATTTTCGTCGACAGTA